GTGCCACTTTGTGTTGTCATTAATGCTGATAAATAAGAGTTGAGTAGGTGTATAAGGAAGGGCAGTAAAATTCTGTGTGGAATATATTATGATTCTTAATAAACTTTATATTTGTCTTTGGGCCTCCATCCTAAGGAAATCGGAAGTGTTTTAAGCCAAGATTTAGTCAGCATGACATTAATTATAATAACTGGAATAGCTGAAATATAAAAAATACATGGGTGCCTAAATTAACGTACATGCCATTAACAATACTTACAAAGAATTTTAATGACCTGCTGGAATGCTTATGATAAGTGAAAAAAGCAGAATGCAAAACTGTTCAACAAAGGCAAAAAAAAAAAAAAAAAGTCTGCTTGAAGCCCCCATATGTCAGAACTTTCTGTAAGACATTGAAGACACTTGTCTTCATAGTAGTTCTAACACTCCACCTTCCTTGGTTATTGTATGGTCAGCAGTTTGGGACAAAGGAGATCTTTTGGGATGTTTCCTAATTAAGATTGTGTTCTGTCACAGTTTTCCTCCACTAAAGGTTAGACACTGGGACACCATATCCATGTGCTTGACAAAGGTACAGATAAGCAACAGGCTAAAAATGGAGGCTGTACCCCAGAGGCAACAGGGAGTATTTATTCGTGTGGGTCTGAGCCCAAAACCAAGTCTAGGTGTAAGTGTACCTCCATGGAGAGGCGTTCCTGGTTGAGTAGCTCTGGTAAGTGGCAGACTCCAGGCTTTAAGTTCTCCCACCCACAGGGTGGTAAAGGGACCATCTCATCAGAATGCCCCAGTTGCACTGGGGAGTACTAGACTCAATCATGTTGATAGAAGCACTGCCTTATGGGAAAACCACATCATGCTCAAGGAGCAATTTCTTTTTACCAGCAATAACCCAAACTTATGGTCCCAGGCAGGCTTTCTTTCATTTATAATGTTTTTTGGATAACCATAGGAGCCTTAGCCTTGCAGTAAGCACAGCCACATTGGACCTTACCTTCTAGGGTCTGAAATTTTGTTGTTGTTGTTGTTGTTAGATGCCGTCGAGTCAGTTCTAACTCATAGTGTCCCCGTGTACAACAGAATGAAACACTTCTCAATCCCACACCATCCTCACAATCGTTTCTATCTTTGAGCCCATTGTTGCAGCCACTGTGTCAATCCATCTTGTTGAGGGTCTTCCTCTTTCTCTCTGACCCTCTGCTTTACCAAGCATGATGTCTGTCTCCAGGGACTGGTCCCCCCAATAACATGTCCAAAGTACGTGATACAAAGTCTCACCATCCTCACTTCTAAGGATCACTGTGGCTGTACTTCTTCCAAGACAGATTTGTTTGTTCTTCTGGCAGTCCATGGTATATTCAATATTTTTCGCCAACACAGTAATTCAAAGGCATCATTCTTTGGTTTTCCTTATTCATTTGTCCAGCTTTCAGATGCATATGAGGTGATTGAAAGTACCTTGCAAAATGCATTCGTAAATGTGCAAGTGTTCTCACTTTTGACACTTGTCACAGTGACTATGAGCATTGTCTAGTCTCGGGTCCTGCAGCCCTGGAATGCAATTGAAGAACTGTGACAAGCTTTTACTCAGCATTCTCCTGCTGGGCTCCTGGTCACCTGCAGACTGGTGCAGACCACCCAGCTTGAGTGAGGATCAAATTAGTGAAGGTGGTAAAGGTTGTGAAAATACCTTTGGATTCTTCTGGAAGGCTTGGCAAGGCCTGCCACCTGCGTTCTGCTGCTCACACCCTTCCGGTGCTTTTCCTCTCCAGTTCAGAGGTGACTGCCCTCTAACTGTAGCCCAGCTTCCCCCGTGACCTTCATTTAGCAACACCCACCAGGTTGCATCTTTCCCACCCTTCCTTTGAAGCAGCCTTATCTTGAAAGTTCTGGACGTTAAGTATTTGATGTTATAAAGATATGATTTTTGGCGGTCACAAGACTGGTAATCTCCCAACTATGGTTTAGATTTGTTTTGAAATAATATTCCAGCCCAAACTTGACTAGGTAAAACGGGGAATGACCTAAGATACGAAGACTGGTTCAGGCAGGAATATGCCTCATCAATTTTTAAACCAAAAATGTGGGACGAGGGGCAAAGTGTGGCCAAGTGAGGTTCTGTTTTTTAAATTTGCTTTGGAAATAGTACAATAAACATGTCATTTTCTAAAAGGGGATTATTCGTGGCTATTTTCAATCCCGAGCCGGCCTTTGACAGGCCGGTTTCCAACACGATCCTGGTTGACCCCCCTCCTGCCCAGACCTGGTATGTGCAGGAAATGCAAGCTTATTTTAATAGCCACTTACATTAAACATAACTTTTAAAGTAAATCAATGGGGAGAATTAGCATTTCTCAAACAAAACATTTTCACTGGATCGTGTGCATTAGCCTGGTTGAGTTGTGTCTGAGCTCAAGCTGCAAACAAGATTTAAGCAGCTTATTCTTGATCTAAGAGCTCTGGTGGCACAGTGGTTAAGCACTCAGCTGCTAACCAAAAGGTTGGTGGTTCGAACCCACCAAGTGCTCCAGGAGAGATGTGGAAGTCTGCTTCTGTAAATATTGCAGCCTTGGAAGCCGTATGGGACAGTTTTACTCCATCCTGCAGGGTCACTATTCCAAAAATCGACTCTATGACAATGGGTTATAGGGTCACTATGAGTCAGAATCTACTCAAAGGGAACAGGTTTGGGTTTTTTTGGTTTGTTCTTGATCTGTTCTGTGCAGTGTAGGTACCAGGAGACTGGTCAGCCTTCCTAGATTTTGTTTTAAAAACTTCTTTTGTGCCTGTCGAGCCAGAGTGGGTCATGCCTTTTGACTGGAACCTCTAAATCCTTGGGACTTCCAAGCATGTGAGGCAGCAGCATGGTTGAACGGCTGCTCTGGGAGGCCCAAGGCGGCCTGGGACGGGGTTGCACTAGCCCAGGTCTTTCATCCCCGCAGTCATGAGACGCTCCAGGTGTGTCAGCATCAAAGCGGGGAGAAGCAGGTGCTCCCGATCAAGACAGATCTGAACACACACTCCCCTTGGGGGCTGTTGGATGTGGTTGATCATGAAATGAAAGCCAACTAAAGGAATGAGAGGTCCTGTTGATTATCTCCCTCGTTTTCAGTGCTGTTCCTGGGGCTCTTCTACATCCAGGGAAAGAATTTGTGAAAAAGACTGTGATACCACCTGTGCAGAAGACACAACACCTACTCTTAATTCTGGGATCCTCGAGCTCGTGGCCTCAGGCAAAGGGGCTGTGCCCCTAAAGAGCTTTATGAAGGAAAGTGAGCCTGTCTTGGCTTCACTGTTACTCACCTGTGCCACCCATGTCCTCTCTGGCTGGAGGGGACGATAGGGCCATTACCAGTCTCTTTCTGGATCACTCTGGGCAGTCTGCTGCTTCTCAGTTGAGGGGCCAAGACTGGAAGGGGCCCTGGTCATAATGATCTAGACTCCCTTCTCTGCCTTTTACAGATGGGGAAACTGAGGCTGATGCTGAAAGGGAATCAGTGACTTGCCCACTGTTGCCAGCTTGTCAGTGGCAGAGCCAGGGATAGTTCCCAGGATTCACTCCAAACTCTTTAGTACAGCGCTCTGGTGGGAAAACAGGGTGGGGTGGGCACTTGGAGAGGAGACTTGAAATACATTGACTCTCAATTCAACTGACATGTGCCCTGCAGGACAAGGACAGCTTCTGAGGCACAGCACCTAGAGTGCCGGAGGTTGTAAGACTGCTGAGGACCTTACAGATTTCGCTTTTTGGTCCTGCGTGTTTGGTACTGCTACTGGAATTGGCTTTTGTGGAAGTTATGGGATAAGACTGCCCTCTAGTGGGCTGGTGAAGCCATTGGCCTAATCACATTAAGTTCAAAGTTGTTTTCTTATGCTGAATCAGTGTAATCTGATTTTATCCTTTCTCAGTCACTCTGGCCGTAGTGATGTCCTTGACCTCTGAGCAGTAGCTGTCATTTGCTCATCTTATAGGAAGTTAGTTTTTTTCCCCAATGTTAGAGGTGTCTTACTTCCCTAACAATATACGACCTCCCAAAGCCTGGGATTATGTCTTGTGTCTTGTGCTTCTACTTAGTAGGACATGAAATTAGAAAGTTCATTGGGATAAAAAGGAGTCCTTTCCCCAAAAAAATAATCTCATCACTTCTCATTTGTTCCTAAAACATTCTAATCTGAGCTCTCAGATCAATAGTTCCCCAAGTTGTTGAGTCATCAGAATCCCTCAGAAAACTTCAGGAACACACTTTCCTGGGCCTTACTCCAGACCTGCTGAATCAGTCTCTGTGGTCGGAGCCAGGAAATCTGCTTTAAAAACTTCCCAAGTGGTTTTTGATGTGCAGCCAGGTTTGGCAGCCAACTGCGCTGAATCTCCATTTACAGTTACTTCTCATAGTTTTCTCCCCTGACGAGGTCTCCAGAGGTCATCAGCTTGTGTCAGTTATTAAAATTGACCACTTTGAGATTTCATTCAGAAATATTCACTGCTCTTTTCTAACTGCAGCATGGGTGACGGGAAGGAGGAAGAGCCACAAGAGAGGGACCAAAGGTATTTGCTTTGGTTGCCAATGGCTCTGTGTTCATAGCAGAACACACTGAAACCAGTACCTCTCTGCTGACTGGATAGATTGTTTATTTGTAGTTTGTTTTTGATGTTTGGCCTGGAGAGGGAGAGAACTGTTTATTGAGTACCCAATAACTTATTTTCACTTATTCCAAGTCTTTTGATCCTCAGGATAACCATATGAGGTAGGTGGCGTCATCCCTTTTTTTTTTTCTGTTTTTTTAACAGATGGACAAAGTTGAGGCTTAGAAAGGTCAGGTCACTTGGCCAAAGTCAAGTACGTAGATAACTGTCAGACCTTGCACTCAGTGTAGGTAGGTCTGGTTTCCAAGGCCAGCTTTGGGAAGGTAGAAGACCAGAGTGCCAACTGCTCTTTTTTTCTTTAATTGTGGTAAATATATAGGTAACAAAACATTCCAACTGCTCTCTTTTACTCTGTCAGGCCAAACGAGCAGTGCAGCGGGGAGCCACTGCAGTCATCTTCGATGTGTCTGAAAACCCAGAAGCTATTGACCAGGTAAACTCCTCAGGCCCCACCAGGGCTCTACTCCACCCAGGAGAAGTGTCACAGTTGTGTCACACTCACCACAGGGCCTTTGCACTTTTCTGCTGAAGTTAAATTTCCACATTTGAGCCAAGGGGGTGTACTGAGAGGGGGTTAGAGCCAGGGAGTGTGGGGAGTAGGGGGCATTTTCAAAGACCTATCTGTGCCTTCAGCCTGCCCAGTCCATCCTGAAACAGGCACCATCCCTAGTCTACTCCATGGCCTTGCCCTTTAGGGATCTCCAAGGGTATAATGCCTAAGGACTTTGAGGATTTCCAAATGGGTATTTAGTGTCTTTTCCTCCAGCCTTTCTTACTCTCTCCTGTTCTTAAAGTTAAGTGTCTTCTAACCAGAGCCCTCTCTTCCTCCTCAGCTAAACCAGGGCTCAGAAGACCCGCTCAAGAGACCAGTGGTGTACGTGAAGGGCGCAGATGCCATCAAGCTCATGAACATCGTCAACAAGCAGAAAGTGGCTCGAGCCAGGATTCAGCACCGCCCCCCTCGAGTGAGCCTCGGCACTGGCCAGCCGGGCCTGGCGCCTTCCCCGCTGCTACCAGGGCCTTTGTTTCCTTTGGGCTTTGTGACTGCGTTCCTTTCTGTCTGAAGTGCCAGCGTGCCCCAGGTTCCTGCGGGTTTCAAGCAGATACAGGGCTGGAGACCAGGGAGAAATTTCACCTGTGTTCCTTTCTCGGGGATGTGAAAAGTACTACCAGAAATAGAGGAGCCCTAATGGCCCAACGGTTAAGCGCTTGACTGCTAACCGAAAGGTTGGCAGTTCAAACCCACCCAGCTGCTCCATGGGAGAAAGACCTGGCCATCTGCTCCCATAAAGATTACAGTCTAGAAAACCCTATGGGGCAGTTCATCTCTGTCAAATGGGGTTACCATGAGTCGGCATCAACTTGAAGGAACCCAACAACAACAACCAGAAATAGACAAGTAGTGCTGGAAGTCTCTGGTTTCTTCCACCTGGTGTTCCCTGTAATGACCTCTCATCCCTCTTTCTCTTCCATCCTATTCCCTAGTCTGAAAGGCAAACTGAAGGAGGATTGAAGGGGAGGAATACCCAAGCCCTCGGCTTCCTCAAGTCCCCCTCCTTCCACATGGCCTAACCTAGAGAAAAAGGCCCATACTCCCTTCTTCCCAGAGGGTAAATTATCTCATTGAAATCCTTCAACTTACATTGGGGTCTGGAAAAGTTACTTTCAACTGGAATTGAATTTCAGGACCTCCAGGTGATTAATGAATACAGTTTTGACTTCTTTTGAATGTGTTGAAGGGACACTGTTGGCCAAGAACTTTTGACCGGCATCTTTTGCCCAAACCTCAGGCTGGAGGATTCTAGGAGCCTGGTGCAGGTGCCCCATATACGCTTTATTTCCTCCTTGCAAATACTGGGATAGTCACACATAGAATGATTCTTTCACGTGCACAAAACATCTGGATACACACAGCATTCAGTTAGCAAAGCGCTATTCCGATTGGCTAAATACATGTGCTACATGAGTTGATTTGAAGGTTTTAGGAAGCAGTGTGCCATGAGGAAAAGTAAGACCTAAAACTCAAGGGAGTTTACAGGAGAACTCACTTGCTGGCTTCTTCTTAAAGGAAAACAGGGCGCTTTGGTAAATATGACTCATTGTAGTGGAAGCTGATATTTGTGGAAGCAGCATACAATTTTCTGAGTTGTTGTAAACCATTAATTATATGGCTAGTAATCACTGTTCCCTCAAAACATGACACTCACTCCTTTGTCCTATAAATGCGCTAGTTGTGTTTATTTGGAAGGGCCTTTCTTACCGGTTGTAGCGTGTTTTGCGCTCTTCCATGGGGAGCCAGCCTTTAGGAACAGAATTCCCTTGTCTGTTGGGAGGCCTGGCTGAGACGGCTGCAGGCCATCTGGCCGTCTGGGCCTAGACAGTACACCATGTGCCTGTTAGCAGAATCCTATGTGTTTCCTGCAAACTGAGGGGCAGTAGCAGCCTGATGACCCATCCTTCCAACTCAGTGTCCCTGTACCCAATCAGCTGGCTGAAGAGAGGTGTGACTAATTGTGCCTGTCTTCTGTTGTAGCAACCCACCGAATACTTTGACATGGGGATTTTCCTGGCTTTCTTTGTCGTGGTCTCCTTGGTTTGCCTCATCCTCCTTGTCAAAATCAAGCTGAAGCAGCGACGCAGTCAGGTAACGTCTCAGCGCGGCCGGTGAACGCTGATTCCTACAGCCCCGTTGCTGGTGAAAGCGGAGCTCTCCTCTGCCTAGTGTTAGATGGCTCTGTAGTTGAGCCTCCTCACAGCCGTGGGCACTGAGCTCCGGAGACTGTTTCCAGGGCCTAAAAACAGCAAAGATGGAGAAAAACAAGAGCAGAGCTTTCAGCACTGCACTTCCTCTGTTGTAGAAGGGCCTTTCCTAGAAAGGCTAAGCACCAGGGGTGTTTCCAACCAGGGAGTTTTTCCAAAGAAATGTCTACATGTGAATGTGGAGCCCCAGAGCCTTGCTCCTCAATGAGGATCTGGGGCCCTGCAGTGTCAGCATCACCTGGGAGCGTGATAGAAATGCAGAGTCTCAGGCCCAGATCGGCTGAGTCCGAATCTGCATTTACCAAGCTCTCCAGGTGCTTCTCGATGAACAGAGCAGCCCCTGTCACGCCCCAGCAGGCATATGCTTGTGTGCTAGTAGAAAGGAAAGATTTGGGAGTGGGGGTGGTGAGTGGATAAGCAGGTAGCTCAGTTCTCAAATGTGTAACAATGTGGTGCCCCCGGAGAGAGATGGTGGACGTGGCAGGCAGTCTCTGGAAAGGACGCTCTCTGAGCTCACACAAGGGTCGCGTGGCCACCATTAACAGGACAGTGCCTGGCATTTATTGAGCACTTCCTGTCTGCCAGCTGCTAAGCACTCACACTCACCTTCCGTGCGGGAGACTCGGATTTGATTTCCGGCCACTGCTCTTCCCGAGCACAGCCACCGCCTGTCTGTCATTGGAGGCTTGTGTGTTGCTATGATGCTGAGCTGGTTTCAGTGGAGCTTCCAGATCAAGATGGGCTAGGAAGACAAGCCTGGTAATCTGCTTGTGAAAGTCAGCCAGTGAAAACCCTGTGGATCACAGCAGTTCCACCCTGTTGTGCTTGGGATCGCCATGAGTTGGGGGCTGACCCAACGACAGCTAATGGCAACAACAGAGCACTCACACACATTATCTCATTTATCTTCACAACTTCCCTCACTGTAAAGAGGAGGAACCCTTGGCATATATTGGGTGAATAACTTGGGGTCCGGCAGAGTTGGGAAGCAGCAGGGCTGGTGGTTGAAGCCGACAACCTCTGCCAGTATTGCTGTGTGGGGAAAGCCTGGCTTGTTGTGGATACTGTAGGGTCTGCAGCATCTGTGCTTGTGGCAGTCTGAATGTTTAGTGGTTTTTCAAAAGTCTGTTCTGGCCTGATAGAGTGGTGTTTGCTGTCCCAGTGCACTTAGTGCCATGTCCTTGAGGGTGATACAGACCACATTCTGCCTTGCAGAATTCCATGAACAGGCTGGCCGTGCAGGCTCTGGAGAAAATGGAAACCAGAAAGTTTAACTCCAAGAGCAAGGGGCGCCGGGAGGGGAGCTGTGGGGCCCTGGACACTCTCAGCAGCAGCTCCACATCCGACTGTGCCATCTGCCTGGAAAAGTACATCGACGGAGAGGTAATGGCAGAGGCCGGGCTGTCCTGGGTGGGGGTGAGGTGAACAGGTCAGCAAAGGCACCCAAGTCCCTAGTACGTGGCCTGAGACATTCTAACCGCCATTTCCCCCCTTGAAGGGGGTCGCCACAATGCAGGGAGAGACTTCCCCAAGGACCCAGCTCAACAGTGATGATTTCAGATACCAGACCAACTGCAGTCAAGGCAGTTCCCACCCTTGGCCAGCCTGTGTGTGTCAGAGTAGACCTGTGCTCCACAGAAGTTGATTGGAAATAGATGGTAGGCTGGAGAAACTGTGTGGTCTTAACAGTCACACATGTTGACTTTGTTTTAGAATAACTCTTCTGAAAGCTCTGAGATTTGAGTATCTTGATACAAACCTCTTCTAAAAAGCTTTGTGGAACATTTGGTATTTTTACTTACAAAGAGACAAGGGCTTTGATGTCCCCTTTTTTTCTTCTGGCTTTTTATTTTGACATTTTCAAACCTTCAGAAAAGTTACCAGAATCATGCAATGAATGATAATATCGTTCACCCAGAATCACCAGTTGTTAGGATTTTGCCACGCTTGCTTAATCGCTTTCTCTGTAGATAGATGCATACCCACACACACACACACACACACATTTTGGGGAGGAGAAGAGCGAACTTTTTTTGAGAATTAGTTGCAGCCATTTTGATAGCCCTTTGATGAAAACGTTCCACTGCTGTGTAGATTATTGGATGTAAACTGGCTTTAGAATAATGGAGGAGCCCCTAGTGGTACAGTTATTAAGCACTCAGCTACTAACCAAAAGGTTGGCAGTTCAGATCCATCAAATCCATCCAGAGGTGCCTTGGAAGAAATGCCTGGCGACCTATTTCGAAAAGGTCACAGCCATGAAAACCCTATGGAGCACAGCTCTACTCTGAAGCACATGGGGTCACCACACATCGGAATTGACTCAATGGTAACAGGTGTTTTGGACTGGGTTTTAGGATAATGGAGTCTTGCATGGATGCAGGTTCTAATCCTGGCCCAGAGCAGGTTCTAGCTTTGTGCTCATGAGCAAGTGATGTCATTCTCTATGCCTGCGCTTGAGACATGGGCCTAAGACTGACCCACACTCCAGGTGATCACAAAGGTTGTGTGAGAAAACCCGGGTAGACCTCTCTTCCCCCTTTCAGGCCCAGCGTTAGGCATGTGTTTGAATGTCACCATGCTACACTGGCCCAGAGAATGAAAACCAAAGTAAAATAAGCACATTTGGAGAGTGTTGGGCTCAGGAGCACCAGGGCTGATTCTGCCTCAGCAAACCCACCCTCTTCTCTCCAGATAGGTTGCTTTGGTTTGGAACCATGTGCTTCTGAGCTGAGCATTCAGGGTTCAGAGAAGGAGTTGGACAGGAGAGCTTTGCCCCATGAATACCTGGGCCTGGGCCTCTTTCTTTCTACTCGTTCCCATTTGGGGTACCTGGAGGCAGCTGCCATTCTAGAGATGTAGGTCTTGGAATGTAGCTAGCCCTTCTCCACAGCCCCAGGCCTCCCATTCTCACTAACACCAGGCTTTGGCCTTCTTCTGTGTGGCGGCATCTCTACAGAGGAAGTAATGAGAATGAGTGCCCTCTTCTAACTATAGGAAAGGAACTTGCTTTCCATAGGTTTCCCTTCCTTAAAATTGAGGGCTGTGCTCAAGGCTGGCTGATAGGCATGTTTCTGCTCCCTAGAGCCCAGCCTGTCCATGGGCTCTGCCTCCAGGGAATTGAGCTGACATGTAGTTGGACATGGGGAACAGAAAACACCGAGAGATTGGGGAAGGGTGCCCCTGGGCAGGGGCGAGCTGAACAGGGCTTCTCAGTCCACCCTGGGCTCCACAGGAGGAAGTGCATGTGGGGCCAAAAACAGAGCTGCCCTTTGGCCTGTGCCGTCCTTTCAGGCTGTGTCCTCTCCCTTCTCAGGAGCTGCGGGTTATCCCCTGTACTCATCGATTCCACAAGAAGTGCGTGGACCCGTGGCTGCTGCAGCACCACACCTGCCCCCACTGTCGGCACAACATCATAGGTAATTGTCAGATGCTGAAGCGTCCAGTCTACCGAGTACCTAGAGAGAGTATGACACACCCTGCAGGCTCATGAGCGAAGCCGCCACTGCGTTGCCTTCTAGATCTGGAGGCATGGAGACCAAACCCTTGGAGGCTGGCTGCACAGGCTTTAGGAGAGTTGGGCCTTAAGAATTGCCCTGAGTTGGAGTTTTGGCTCACACCTGAGCCAGCTTCCTGTCCTTGGGCACTTGGCCTCACAGGGCCTGAGGCTCACAGTCTCTAGCGGGAGCAGCAATAGTGATGCTTGCCCATTCCCAGTCCCACAGAGCCGTTCCCAGGGCCGCAGAATGAGGAACGTGATATGGCAGGCATGTGATGCTGCTTCTGCATCACTGTGTTATTAGACAGAGGCACAGGGTCACTGCAGGTAGCTGTTTTTTAAGAGGGACAGTGCCCCTCATCTGTGTACTCCTGTTGCTCTCTGCAAACTCTAAGGTACAGAGGAGTAGGGAGATGGGAGATGTGCCCCAACAGGAGCGACCACCTTTCATGTGGAGAAACGGGTCAGCCTCGGCCAGCGCAATCTGGGACAGCTTAGAACAGGCAGGGTCTTGAGACCGGGCGCCTTGGAGTGTGACCAAACCTGTTGCTTCAGTCTTTGGCCTTATTTGTTCCTCTTATCCCTGACACCAGTGTGCTCAGCCCTGCTTGCTTTATTTCCTCTCCCCAGAACAAAAGGGAAACCCAAATGCCGTGTGTGTGGAGACGAGCAACCTCTCGCGCAGCCGGCAGCAGCGGGTCATCTTGCCAGTCCATTACCCTGGCCGCGTGCACAGGACCAATGCAATCCCAGCCTACCCTACCAGGACGAGCATGGACTCCCACGGGAACCCCGTCACGCTGCTGACCGTGGACCGGCACGGGGAGCAGGGCCTCTATTCACCACAGACCCCAGCCTACATCCGTGGCTACCCACCCCTCCACCTGGACCACACCCTGGCCGCCCACCGCTGTGGCCTAGAGCACCGGGCCTACTCACCAGCCCACCCCTTCCGCAGGCCCAAGTTCAGCGGCCGTAGCTTCTCCAAGGCAGCTTGCTTCTCCCAGTATGAGACCATGTACCAGCACTACTACTTCCAGGGCCTCAGCTACCCAGAGCAGGAGGGGCAGCCCCCACCCAGCCTGACTCCCCGGGGCCCATCCCGTGCCTTCCCGCCGAGCAGCAGTGGCAGTCTGCTTTTTCCCACCGTGGTGCACATGGCCCCGCCCTCTCACCTGGAGAGCGGCAGCACGTCCAGCTTCAGCTGCTACCACGGCCACCGCTCGGTGTGCAGCGGCTACCTGGCCGACTGCCCGGGCAGCGACAGCAGCAGCAGCAGCAGCAGCAGCTCTGGCCAGTGCCACTGCTCCTCCAGCGACTCCATGGTGGACTGCACTGAGGTCAGCAACCAGGGTGTGTATGGGAGCTGCTCCACCTTCCGCAGCTCCCTCAGCAGCGACTATGACCCCTTCATCTACCGCAGCCGGAGCCCCTGTCGCACCAGCGATGCAGGTGGCTCAGGCCGGGGGCCGCCTGTGTGCCTTGAAGGCTCCCCGCCACCTGAGGAGCTCCTGGCAGCGCACGGTCGTGGTGCTGGCCCGGGAGAGCCTTGGCCTGGCCCCACCTCTCCCTCGGGGGACCAGCTGTCCACCTGCAGCCTGGAAATGAACTACAGCAGCAACTCCTCCCTGGAGCACAGGGGGCCCAATAGCTCTACCTCAGAAGTGGGGCTCGAGGCTTCTCCTGGGGCCGCTCTGGACCTCAGGAGGACCTGGAAGGGGGGCCGGGAGGGGCTTACATGTGCCTGCTGCTGCGAGCCCCCGCCCTCTGCACTGGAGCCCAGCGCAGGCGCAGCCGACAGCGGCACCTTGTTCCTGGGCGCCCCCCTCTGTGAGGGCTGTGGCCCTTCAGGGGGCGAGCCACCACCAGGAGGCCCCCAGGGCCTGCATGGCCTTCACCCAGACCATTTGCCCAGGACAGATGGGGTGAAGTATGAGGGCCTGCCCTGCTGCTTCTATGAAGAGAAGCAGGTGGCCCACGGCAGCGGACGGGGCAGCAGCTGCTACACAGAGGACTACTCCGTGAGCGTGCAGTACATGCTCGCCGAGGAGCCCCCGCCCAGCTGCCACCCAGGGGCCCAGGACCTGAGCCAGCGCATCCCCATCATCCCAGAGGATGTAGACTGTGACTCGAGCCTGCCCTCAGACTGCCAAGGGACCCAGGTCTGCAGCCTCTGGAGTGGGACACTAGGCCTGGACACCCCACAGCCCTACCGAGGCCTAGGTATGTCCCAGAAAGGAGAGTGGGCTCTAGGCTGCCCAGTGGGGGCACTGCTGCAGCCGGGCTGCCCTCCGGAGGAGAAGGGTGTGTCCAGAGCCAGCTTCCCCAGTCCCCTCCAGGACACTCAGGCGTCTGATACCATGGCCGCCGAGGCTTCAGGTGAGAGCAGGTGGCAGAGTAGACATTTCCACGGGGCTCTCTCTGCACAGTCATTTTCTAAGTGACTCCATTTGTGCCCCTGGCTGTAAGGACTGTCTGTACTTAATGACTTCCCCATGTACTCTTCTACCCAGCCCTTTCCTGAGGCCAGCTCCATCCAACCCTCTGCTTCCATGATCTCTCCCCTTTGATGCCTCACAAGCTTCTCAACCTGCCATGTCTGATACTGCTCTCAGCGCCCTCTTCCCTTTTTCCAAGTCTCCCCACCTAGATGCTTGGGCCAAAAACCCAGGCACCATCCCTGACCCCGCCCTGCCCCTCGCACTCTGTGGCCTCCAAGTCAGAGCTCCTCCATCTGTCTGCAGAGGACCGCATTTGTTTGTTTATTCCCTAGTCCACCATGGACTGATACTTTTTGTAAAATACAACAAAAAGGAATTGCCAGAAAAATGAAATTTAACAAAAGACATGGAAAGTACAAGTCCAATTCTTTTACTAGATTCAACAGACATTGTCAAATTGCTATAAAGTTTCCAAACGTTTTGTCTCAGTAATAAAGTGTGCATTCTAGCACCTTTGAGTAGCACTGGGGTAAGTTCCACCTCCAAAATAGTTCCCAGACGTAGCTGTTCCTCTGCATGGGCTCAGCCCAGCCCCATTTCCTCTCCCCAGAACGAATGTGGCACTTTCTGACTGGTCTCCTGTTGCTGTCTTGTCTTCTTCACTCCATTCTCCATGTGGGAGCCAGAGTGGTCTTTTTTGAAACATAACTCTATGTCCTTATGCTAGAAAACACTTACAATGACTTGCCATTACGTTTAGCGTTTTTAAAGCCCAAATCTGTACCCATGTCTGTGGTCTGGCCCATCTGTCCTTCCAACCGCCTCTTGTTTCTCTACTTTAACCCCCTTGGCTTCTGTCCTATTCCTCCAGCATGCCAGTCTGCAGACCTTCTCCCCGACTCAGTCCTTCAGATCTCAGCTGAGGTAACTCCCTCACCTCCCTCTGAGGTCACTCCGCATCCTGTTTACTTCCTGGGTTATCAGAATCTGAAAGTACTTTGTTTCCCTTGTGATCTGTAAACTGTGACAGTGTCTTCTCCACTGCTCCTCCCATTGCCTGACACACTTGGTTGATACTCTTTGGTGCATTGTGTTTCCATGCTACCCAATGGCTTCCAGAAGGCTCTGCTCTGCTCATCCAGATAAGGGAAGTCACCTCTCCGGGAGGCACCTGTGCTCTTAACGCAGAATGAACCCTTCTCAGAAAAGGAGCTCTGCTTCTGCCCTGTGTTGTATACAGCCCAGTGTTTCGAGCTGTCACTCACTGAGAGAGCCTATCACAGGCCAGGGACTTGCCATCTGGGAGGAGGGAACAGGAGCTGGCTGAAACCCACAGGTGCCGGCTCCCTCTCCTGATGATTGTTCTCTCTCTCTCCCAGGATCAGGATCCTGCCCAGCAGACACCAGCGGCACAGGAGCCTGAGCTGAGAAAGAACTCATCTAGAAATGGGGAATTGTGCAGAGACTTCAAATTCTGATTTCCTTTTTTTTAAAAAAAAAAAAAAAAAAAAAATATTTTTTAGCTTTGACAAACACACAAAAGTGGTAATAGAGCCCTCCTTCTCAACCCGAAATGTGAGCCACCTGTGGCAAAACCACCCCCACCCCATTAACAAATCAACAGACAAAATTCTGAGTCCTTTGCCTCTTTTGATAACACGTTATTTTTCTGTTTTGTAAAGTGTGTGTGCTTGGGGTTCCAAGGTGTGTGGGATTGAATTCTCTGCTTTGTTTTTATTTTTGTTTTTAATATTATATGTAAATGTAAAAAGTTATTTAAAGAACCCTAATCGCCAACTTTTGCTGAAAAAAAAAAAAAAAAATCACTGCTGCATTAAATGAACCACATCATGTGTAGATACTGTTGTCTCCCCAGAGGGAGCTCAGGCCTTTGAAAAGCTCAGGGCTACACCTGCCTTAGAAAATGAACCAGAAACTTGAAGTTAAGCTAGTTGATATGGGTACAAACTCTGAGGAACAATGCAATGCTGCCTCTTTCTCGCGGCAGATCCCACTGTACAAAAGTTCAGGTCTTCTCAGAAGCCATGTCCCTGCAGCCTGCACCTTTAGGCTGCCAGCAGCAACAGCTAGGATGAGAGTGGAAGATCCGCGACCCCAGCTCCCATCCGTGGAGCTAGAGTCGATAGTTCTGAGGGGAACCAGGACAGCTGCAAGCCTTGGGGTGATGGGTAGCTCCGCCCACTCCCCTCAGTTTGCCCGCTTGGGCCATCCCCGGAGTAAAGCGACAGAATCCACAGTCAGGATCTGGGTCAGGGACCAGGTCACAGTAAGGGCAGTGGGCGTGGGGTCCTCTGTCTGAAGTCACTGACCCCAGGGCCTGATGGAAGAGGAGCATAACTTTGTAATCCTTTGTAAGAATATGTTGGGCTTCCAGCTACTGGCTGCAGAAATGATTCGCTAGGCCGTGTAGGGGCAAACACCCAGGGGGAGTGTAGTTTTGTGGCCTTGGTATCCGAAGGGGCGTGGGGGTGCTCTCCACAAACTCTGCATGTACTTGGCACGTGCTCTGTGTAGAGAAGGGGTTGCCTGGCTCTGGGACGCACACGCTGGGGCGAGCCTGTGTGCGCATGCGTCTGTGGGGGCACAGCCATGCCCCTCAGCTGCTGCTTTCTGGGCGCATGCGCCAGGACCCCGAGGGGTCTGCACTGAGCTGAGCTCCGTGTGGATGGTACGGTTCCCATCCTGTTTCCCACGGAAGCGCTGCTTCAGGGTGATTTAGCCGTCTGCATCATGGTTGAAATCCTCATCTCGCCTGGAAATGTCTACTATTCTGTCTACTTAATGCACTATTATGTATTGATTCTCCACGAGACAGAGAAAGAGACTATCAGATAGTTTTGACCCAAAGGGTGGGTTTTTGTATATTTTTCCAGCATTTTTCTAAGGGGGAGGGAGAGTTTAAAAACCCAAACAGGTGGTTTTTGTTTTTGTTTTTTGGGGGGTGGTTTAAAAGACGTTTCCATTTTTAAAGGGAGAGAGAATCTATTTAAAGCTATTTCAGATCAGGGATTGTTATCCTTTTTTGTCCCATGTATTCTTTGTTCTTTTAAAAAAAAAAGTTTTTAGAAAAAACTAATCACATTAGCCCTTAGATTCACGAACTCTTCTGGTCACTTCTGTGTATTTATTCATTCAATGGGGATTTGTTGGCATCTGAAAGAGTTTGGCCCATTTGGCCTAAGCTCATATGCAGAATGGGAATGAAGCAACCTGGCCCCATGGATGGGGAGACAGGAACCACCCTGGGTTGCCAGGTGACTGTGACATCCCTCTCCAGTCAGGCTCATATGAAGTCAATACCTGTGTAGCCAGACAAGGACACCTTGAATGAAAATCTCACCGTATAGGAATCCTTTTTTTCTTAAAAACCCCAGCTTGTGATGAGGGATTTTACTTAATTCTATCTAGCCAGGATTTGATAGTAAAAAATTGCAGCATCCAATAATTGAGCCATTTGCCATATAGAAACTGGCTGTGGTGAGATTCGGCCCCCAGCCTCAGTGGCCCAGTCCCCTGGGGGCACCTCCCTCTGGGCTGTGCCCAGCACACCTGTTGGCGAGGGTGTGAGAAGCCCTAAGTTGTTGACATGTGATCCAGCCGCCTTTATATCTCAGGCCAGAAGTAGCAGCTGCCGAGGACAACAGCTTGCATTACGTGGTTTTAGGGAAGGGATATGGCTTTTAACATGAACTGCAAAAAGCAGCTTCTCATGGTTGAGAATTTTTTTTGTTTGTGCTTTTTTTTTTTTTTAACAGCTTGCATTACGTGGTTTTAGGGAAGGGGTATGGCTTTTACATGAACTGCAAAAAGCAGCTTCTCATGGTTGAGAATTTTTTTTGTTTGTGGTTTTGTTTTTTGGGTTTTTTTGTTTTTAATGCATTTGAGTGAATATTATCTTCCTTGTCTGAAAGCGTACCCCCAAAGTGACTTTCTTTAGCCCTGGCTGGAAACCACTCCTCAGTAGCCTTAAGCAGTAAGTAGAGAATGTGGCTTCAACCAGGCGTATTAAAATAAATGTGCCCAGTTTTTCATTTGACAGGGAAAACTGCAGATAGCAAAAGCAGCATGTTTCATTTTTGTCGTTTATGAAATGGTAGCAACAAGAAAAAATGAAATTTTAAAACTTTATCAGCAGTTGACTTTTAAATTTGTATCGGCTTGTCAGACAGGGAGGTGACCAGAATATAATAACCAGCTGTATTATTGCCTCACCTTTTAAATCAAAATAAATGTCTTCTTCAAAATTGTAAGACTCCAATAGCTACGACAACTTTGGGGCAGTTACAGTGAAATCTGTGAGAGCCAGAACTCGACAGGACTGCCTTGTTTTTCTGGGTCTTGCAAGTTTTCTGCCTTTGATAGGGTGCAGTCGTACCATTTTCTGTCGCTCTCTATTAGTGGAAAATATTTTGAATTTTCCTTCTCTCACAGGTTTCCACCTTACACGGGTTCCGGCTTTCACAGGTTTTAGTGTACAGAGCTGTGGAAACCGGAAGCACCGTATTTTCCACTGAGAACCCCCATCGCCCAGGCTGAGGTGTGGCTGTTGGACGTGGCTAAGCCCTGTAGGACTGCCATGTAAACTGAAGAACCAGATAGAAATGGATATTTGGGTGTTCTGACTAACGAGGTACCTCTTTGTAGACACAGCTCCAGTGAGCTGGCTTGAACTCTCAGTTCCTTCCCCTTCTCCAACCCAAGCCCTTTTATAAAGCTCTGTCTGCTGCCTCACAGCTTAGTCCCTTCCTTATGTGCTGCTAGTCTCTGTTCCAAGTTCATGCAGGACTAATGCTTTTAAAATGAGGTCTAAAAAAGAATTCTACTCGAGAGTATTACTTTTAAAACAACTGCCTTTTTCTATTCTTTATATAACCGCTTTCTGTTGTGTTGGTCTAACAAGGCACTATTTGAAAAGTTTGTTTTTTGTTTTTTTAATTTCTCCCATAGCACTTAAAAGATATTTTGTAAAGACTTTGCTGTAAAGCTTTTGTAATAAAATGGTCTAAGGGCTCTTTCTCCAACATTACCATTTTTTAAAAAATGTTTTAAAGGCTAGAAAACAACTTATGTATATTCTGTATATGTATAGCAGCACATTTCATTTATGGAAATATGTTCTCAGAATATTTATTTACTAATATATTTATCTTAAGCCATGTCTTATGTTCAGAGTGTGGCATTGTTGGAATAATCATTGAAAATGACTAACATGAGGCCCTGTAAATACATGATAATTGCACACAGATTTTACATGTTTGCCGACCAAAAATGATTTAAAACAAGTTGTAGTCTTCTATGGTTTTGTAACAAATTGTACAAATGACTGTAAAAAAAAAAAAAATACAATTTTATCAAGTACGTGTTATACGTTGTCATTGCTCTGTTTGGTTAAGGTCTACCAGTACTCTGCGAAGAAGCAGAGGTTTGCATGGGGGCAGTGCCTTACTTTAACTTCAACTTGCCCACAGAAACATCAATAAAATTTCCTCTCAGGTTATTAAGGGAATGTAAGCTGGTGTCTCAGGAGAGAAGCCACTAGAGAGTAGGGAGGGTTTATCTTCTTGAGGTGGCAGTAGGCTTTCTGCTCAACACTGTGAAAGAAATGAAAGAAAGTGGTAGTTGATGATTAAGAAGAGCCTTGCAGTCCACATTTTTTTTAAAAAGGAAATTGCATCCTCCCCCCCCAAAAAAAATATGTGTTGGAATCCTAACCCCTATACCTGTGGTGTCATCCCATTTGGGAATAGGGTTTTCTTTGTTATGTTAATGAAGTCATGTCATTTGTAGCTTGTATCCTAAACCTTTTCACTTCTGAGTGACATAAAGAGCAGCATAGACACCGAAACAAGCAAGAACAAAAAAGTGGGGAAGATAGATGCCAGGTGGAGGTTGCCAAGGAACCGAGGAACGCCGGGCTAGAGAAACTGAAAGATCTTCCATCAGAGCAGACAAAAGGGAAAGCCTTCCCCTAGAGCCAGTGCCCCCGAATTTGGACCTCTAGCCTCCTGAACTGTGAGAAAATAAATTTCTGTTCTTTAAAGCCACCCTACTTATGGTGTTTGTTATAGCAGCACTAAGAAACTGAGGAAACTAAGGAAAGTAGGTTAGACATAAACCATCAGCTTTATCTGCCAGGACTTTTCCTACTTGGAAGGTTTGAGAGGCCCTCAAACATCTGTAGGAAACGGGCAGTGTCTAAAGCCTCAAGCAACTAGCCCTAGAAATAACATCATGAGAGAGGAGAGGGGCCCTCAGTCTTGTGGAAATCCCTAACCCATTTGTCTTGTTTCCCTGGGAGAGTAGCTACTAACTTGTAAAGCACTCTGAAATCACATGGAAGGTGCAAAGTGGTGTTTATTTTTCAGACATCTAGCAGAGAATATCCTAGTTTCACGAGTTCCTGTTCCTATTTCTCACTCTTTAACTTGGGCCATTTCTTTGGCACAGGCTCCTCGCTGACATGGGGCTGCTTTCTGCCCAGCAACTGGTCCTTCTGAGCACCTTCAGTGATGGCGGCCGGACCGCACAGGGCCTCCCAGAGCTTCTGTTTAATGGCCTTGCCCAGCTCCAAGCTGTACCTCTTCGGGGTCCCTGAGGGATTCCATAGCATTGGCTCAACCACAGCATGGTACAGAGCCTGGTAACCCTCTGTGGGGAGGCCATGGATGGTGAGTGTGTCCTCTGACAACTGCTGTCTCTTTCTGGCTTCAAGAAGCAACGCCTGGTCCTTCCAGGCTGCTGTCCCACTGTCCCAGGGTAGCACTTGGGTGGCAGCCACATGTTCGGCATATCTTTCCTCAAGATCTTGGCGGACAGTTACTTTTTTCTCCTTTGAACTTTCTTTACTCTAGCCAGGAAGAAAGAAGAGAAGTCAAAGCTAAAACTCAAGAAGGCTGCTCAGAATAATTATCTAGGATTTGTGTCCCAGAGTCTTGGTTACAGCAACAACCAACATTTGTCTAGCGTGTTCTATCTTACTGAGTGCCTTCGTGTACACCATGGCATGTGTTCCCTGTAACCCTGTAAGGTCAACAGGACAGCTTTAAAGGCAGGGAAACTGAACGTGGTTTGCCCAAGGCCACACAGCTAAAAGGTTAATAAGCACAGCTGTCGTGCCATGCATGATCCAAAGCATTTACTCTGTTCAAAAGCCCTTTGCATGTAGTCACTCATTTAATCCTTATAAAGCCCTGTGAGGGCAGGGCCATTATTCCCCATTTTATAGATGACAAAATCAAGGCACAAAATTAAGAGGTTAAACCCAAGGTCATCCTCAGTTATTGTCAGGGCTGAGATTTGGACCTCTGCTGGCCTCCATGGAATGATGGAGCTGGACTCAGAGCAGACCTCCGGACACCAATCTTCCATAGGGAAGTTCACAGAATTGTGGCTCACATCTGGCTCTGTGTGTGTGTGTGTGTGTGTGTGTGTGTGTCTGCACGCACACACACACCCTAACTATACCCCAGCCTTTAACTTTCTTTCCCATCCTTATCCTGTTTTCCCTTCACTCCAAGTTCTTTTGGTCTGTGCTTATGAAACCCCCTTGTCCTTTTGTAGAAGTAAACCCAAATCTGGTGCTTTCTCCACCACATCATGCTGGGCCACCCAACCCTCCCCATTCTGTCTTTAATTTCAAGATTCCCTTTTCTTGGTATAAATCTCAAGCATTTGTCTTTAAGTGTCCTCTAGCTTTACCTTTTTCTTCTCCCCAGCCCACCCCATTTTCTCCACCACTAGCCAGCATCTACCTCGCTGATGCTTCCTGTGGGCGTCTTGCACCTAGGTGAGCCCAGCTGCCCCGCTGGCAGCTTGCTCTTGGAACTGATAGAGTTTCTGATCCTGCGCCGCTGGGCAGCTTTCATTGCTGAGTTGTCCTTGGGCTTTAATCTCTTCGAGGGTTTTGCTTCTTCAAACTTGCGTGGCATAGGGCAGCGTTTATCCTTCAGTTGTCGCCTGAGTACAAGCTTCACCAGGGAGAATGAACTGGCAATTAATGGATTCTTTACAACTTCCCAAGAAGTGGTGGTTCCTGGTGTGGGGGCACTGGCATTCTGCCTTGCACACTTTCTGGCCGTCCATATGTTGGTGAGAGCTGGTGAGTCCACATAGCAGTCCTGAAGCCTCGTGTTCAACAAAATGGACTGTCGGAGTCCATAGGTGGGGATGCTGAGGTCTCGTCTCACATATATTGGATGCTAGAATTACAAGGGGGGAAAAAAAGCAGTAAAAAAGACCAGTTCTTAAGCACAGACTAGAAGGCCTACTTTGGAGGCAAAGTATTAACATCCACATAGCTCTTAGAAATCTTGCTACACATCTTCTCTCCTCCTCACCCAAACCTTTTGTACCAAGTAGGGACAAGACAGTAACTTCACAAGGTCACAGCCATAGCCAGGCTCTTGGAGGACATAGCATACAGGCAGGAAGTGGGGGTCAGAGAGCATTGTAAGGAAGGAATCGAAAGCGATCTCTGTCTGCTAGAATGATGAGGGAATCAGTGGCAGGAATCAGAGACAGGGTCACTCAAGGCTCCTGTAAGAGTTGCATTCAATCCTCAATCACGCCACAACCCAGAAATCACAGTGGATACAGTCCTGCCAAACCCTTTCTAACCAGACAGCCATGAACCAAGAAAAGCTGCTAAACGGAAATACACTCTGGGGTCCATAAAGGCAAAAGCACAAGGTAAATGATACTGGCCTCCATTTCCTGGGACCAGCCAAGAACAAGAGAACAAATTTCAATAGATAAGAATCACACACTTAAAGAGACCTGACTTTCTAAGAAATGCCATCTATAAAAATTAAAATCACCTTACCATATGTCGGTTGCCTTAAATTTTATTTTAGCTAGCTTAGTAGGGGGAAGAAATATGTATTTTCTTTTTCCTTTTTTCTCTTTTGTTTTTTATTTTTTGTTTTTTTTTTTTTGGTTTTTTTTTTAATATATATTTCTAGTCACCTATCTTTCTCTGCCTAGTCACGTATGGGCAAATTGCAGTTTGTTTAGATTTTGGCTCACATGCAGGCAGTTTTCAACCATTATCTCTAGTATTTGTGATGTCACTTTGGTTTGTGATGTGGGTGTGGGTGGGTGTTACATCATCAGATTTTATAGTTAAATTATGTTGGCAGGAGTTCTACTTTGCTGTGCTTATCACCTCAGGAGCTTCTGAAGTCCTCATTTCCTATCTCAAAATAGGTGGATTTTGAAGATTCAAACGTTCTTAGGAAGGAGCCCTGGTGGCGCAAATGGTTAAGCACTCATCTGCTAACTGAAAGGTCAGCAGTTCAAACCTACCGCTGCTTCATAGCCTGGTGATCTGCCACCATAAAGGTTTACAGCCTAGGAAACCCTGTGGGCCAGTTCTACTCTGTCCTTATAGGGTCGCTATGGGTCTAAATTGACTTGACAGCACACCACAACGTTCTTAGGAAGCATGCTGTGCATGGAAATGTAAGTCAAATGATGCAGGCCAGCTTTGTGGATACAGGTAGTGTGGGATGCATCCTTACATGTGCAAAAGTGCCCTTCTCGACATACATAAAGAAGGTACTGTTAAATTCTCAGAAGAGCTGCCAAGGTTAGGGACCAGAAGTGAAAGAACACGTTCCTGCAGCCCTGGACGCCTCTCCCTGCGTGTCTCTCCCCAAGAGACTACATGGTTTCTGGAATGTGGTCTTATTTTACATCCTATGGCAAATGCAGTAATTAGAGCTGTTCACAGTGTCAAGAGCTTGAAACAAGAACAAAGACGTCTCTTCCTGGGAACTCTTGGGCAATGCCTTGCTTCTTATCAGGTGCTTGTCCTGTTAGTGGTTTGGATTTTTCATATACAAAATGCCAAAGGAGGTTCTCTCCTGAGGGAGAGGAGATCGAAATGATGGAAAAACCGAGTCTGATTCTGGCAGGAGCTCCTGGAATCGCATGTGTTGCCTGCTGGAATGTTTGAGTGTTGTCCCTGGAGTGAATCAAAGCCGGCAGGCAGACCGCACCGCGGGCCGTGGTGGCACCACCTCCAGGCCCGACGGCTGCTGGACCCACAGACGCTTCGGAGGACAATGGGGCCCATTCAGTGGTGAGCCCTGGCCTCACCTCCCAAGAGGTGGGTCAGCTTTAGAGCAGGGTAGTGGAAAGGATTTGCCTTTGGGAAGGGTTTCAGAATGTCTGTAGACTGACCAGGCAGGCAGCCTTTCAAAGCCAGCAAATCCTGGAGAGTTGGCACCAGGCTCTTGGCCTACCTGGGAATTATCTGCCTTCACTCTGCATTGAAGGGACAGAAGGGAAACAGCAAGAAAAGCATAATAGGGGTAGTCCTTCTGCTTTCTCTCCTTCCCCCATCTTGAGCTTTGCTTTCCCACACCTCCTCTTTCCAGACACTCATCACTTGTGTTTACTTTCCTAGGCCTTTTACTCACTGACCAAGTGACACCCTCTGGCTCTGAAGATCACTTTGAATCTTCTTCTAGCCCAGGGCTGTTCGCCTGGAAAGCAACTGGTACATACTCTTCATATCCAATTGAATTCTGCTTTCTCTTCCTTCAGTGCAACTCACTTAAACTAACTGTGCCCCAATGAGTAGCCCTCACCTTTCTTAGAACTCACCCCCTGAGCCCAGCAGGGTACCTTGGCTTGTGCTCTCTCTCCTACATCAATAAAATTAGTGAAAATTTATTGAATCCTTACTGTAGGCCAGGCACTAGTCTAGGCACTTTACAAGCATCATCTCATGAAATGCTATCAACAGTCCTGTAAATTTGGGTACTGCTGCCATCCCTACTTTACAGGTGAAGAAACTGAGGCACAGATTGCTCAAGAACCATGTCCCAGGTCTCACAGCTAATAACCAGGAAAGGCTGGATTCTACCAAGGTCTACACCATCCTTGCTCTTAACCACTCTGTTAGCCATCACCGTGATGCTCTGTCTCTTATCTGGTGGCCCAACCAAATATCACATATGGAACCAACTCTAGTCCTATCCTTGTCATGAGACTGTCTCTGAGCTCAGGAATTGTTCTGCCCAGATCCATCATTCAATGGGCAAGTTAATTCATTTCTCTGAACCTTAATTTCCTCATCTGTGAAACGTGCACAGTAGTAGTGTTTCTCCCAGGTTTATGATGAGGATGAAATGGGACAATGTACATGAAGCACTTGGCATGGCTCCTGGCATATAGTAAGTGCTCAGTAAATAATTATTAACACTATTAATACTGTGGCCAATTCATTCATCTGGACCTTTCTTGAGGCCCTGTTGCACATGGTCTGAGTGATATAACCTAACAGTTGATTAGACCTTCATTTCAAGTCCTACATGTGCATCCATTTGTTTTATGAGGCCAAACAGCGAGCTTCTTGAAGGTGGGAAATGATTCTGATTTGACTTGGGTATCATGGCATCGCTTTTCTCATGCTACATCTTCTGTAAATATTTGTCAGCTCAATCCACCTCACTGAAGTAGTGTGTTTACAGAAGCTGTGTTTCCCCTGGCTATGGGAGTTACCCAGAATAGTCCATGCTTCATTAGATGAAAAGGGAAGTGGGTACCTGAAGATATCCTAAGGAAAGTGGCTAGTCTTTAGCAGAGATTGTTCCATTGAAGGTTGTTCAGAATTATAAAGTCAAGATGGAAAGAATCTATTTGGTCCAGGGTCCTGAAACCATGGCAAGAAGTTCCATTGTTGGTGCCAACAATTGATCTAGAGAACTTGAAATTGAGGCAGGAAGGTTTCCATGTTGCTAAAAGTCGTGATCCTCAGCTTGATTCTCCCATGAAGCTTTTTTAAACTCTGAGCTCAGTCTAAATAATCTTTATTTCCCACCCATCATTTTGAGCTGTGCTTCCTGACATATCTAAACCGCCGCTTCTATTTGGAAACACATCTGCCCTTCTTTGATGCTTAGCCAAGCTCTTCTCACTGTATTTTTAGCTCCTGTAATCATTCTTTTCTTTTTTTTGTTCCCTGTACTATTACCTTTCTTCTCTTCAGTTTCTCTTAGCTCCTATTCTCTTTCTGGAGGATCAGCTAATGAAGAAGAAGTTAGGGAAGAAGAGAAAAACTTTGGATGAGAGACAATTTGAGCAGATTGCTGAACCATGATGCAAGTTCCAAGGAACCAATGATTTAGACCATGTGTACTGAATGTGCACCTGTCACAGGCCAAGTGCGTGAAATAATGGTGCTCTGCCTGCACTCCCAACCCTTCTCACCGGACTTTTGGTGTGGATGACTCCCACTTCCTCATTTCCAACCCATCCCATCTCTGGGTTCTCAGACATGGCCACCTGGGTGCCCCATCAAACCAAAGAAAACCAACTCCACTGCCATCAAGTCAATTCTGACTCATGGCGACCCCATGTGTTACAGAGTAGAACTGTTCCATAGGGTTTTCTTGGTTTTAACGTTTACAGAAGCAGATCACCAGACTTTTCCTCTGCAGTGCTGCTGTGTGGGTTCAAACTGCCAACCTTTAGGTTAGTAGTTGAACACAGACCTTTTGCAACACCCAGGGACCTTTTGGATGACCTGCAGACACCTCTAACTCACTATGTTCAAGACCAAGTGCTTTCTCTCTTCTCACCCCATCAGAAGAAGTAAACTGCTTCTTCTCTTCAATTTTCCATCACCAGTTGCCTAAGCCAGAAACCTGAGAGACAGGATCAGTAAGCAGTGCTGTGCCAGGTCATAACCGAAGGTTAAGAAAAAGGAAAAATCAGTAATACAAAACATGTCTTTACCGGACTATGGGACATAAAATGATACTCGTGAAGAGAGTGCTTCTTAGCTCAAGTAGATACATGAGACTAAATGGGCAGCTTCTGTCGGGAGGTGAGTTGAGAAGGCAGAGAGGGTCAGGAGCTGGTTGAATGGACACAGGAAATCCGGGGTGGAAAGGAGGAGTGTGCTGTCACAGAATAGGGAGAGCAACTAGGGTCACATAACAATGTATGTATAGATTTTTGTATGAGAGACTAACTGGAATTGTAAACTTTCACTTAAAGCACAACAATGAAAAAAAAAAAACTAAAAAAAAAGCCTGTCTTTATTTAAAATTTTGATATTTTGTTCATCATGGATTTTTTTGCATTCAGTTAGATTTTTTCATTGACTTAAAATTCACATAACATTAACCATTTTGAGTATACAACTCAGTGGCATTTCTTTCATTCACAATGTTGTGCAATCATCACTTCTATCTAGTTCCAGATCATTTTCGTCACCCTAAAGGAAACACTGTACCCATTAACCAGTCACTCCCCATTTCTCCCTTCCCTCCAACTCCTGGCAACCACTTAATCTGCTTTCCGTCTCTATGGATTTGCCTATTCTGGATATTTCATATGAATGGAATCATAAGATACGTGATCCTTTTCTGTCAGGCTTCTTTCACTTAGCATAATATTTTCAAGGTTCATCCTCATTGTAGCATGTATCAGTACTTCATTCCTTTTTATGGCTGAATAAATATTCCATTGTATGTGATACCACATGTTGTTTTTTGGACATGTTGTCCATTCATCAGTTGATGGACAATTGGGTTGTTCCTACCTTTTGGCTACTGTGTATAAGTGCCACTGAGAACAGTTAGATTTTTAAGATACTGCGTTAAAATATTATTTATCTTGATTACCGAGTTTTTTTTTAAGGAGTCCTTGAGTGGTGCAATTGTTAAGCTCATGGCTACTGGCTGAACGGTTGGCAGTTTGAACCCACCCAGAGGTGCCTTGGAACACAGGCCTAATGATCTGCATCTGAAAGGTTACACCCTTGAAAACACTATGGAGCAGTTCTACTCTGTACACATGGGATCACCATGAGTCAAAATCAACTCAATGGCAACTAACAACAACTACTGAGATTTTTGGC